CATGAATTGTTCTTCCTGGCAAAATAGTAGTTTTGAGCCTGCTTCAGCCAACTCTGGCTCAAAAGGGAAGTCTTTATTCACATACATAACTCCCTGACTATAATGCCCCGATGAGTAAGAAATATTGGTATTTCGTAGCGTTATACTGACAAAACAAGGGGAAAGGAAGTGCCTCTGGGAGCTATAATTTACACAAGACACTGCTCTGTTTGCGTTAGCAGGACTATTTGTGCAGATGTGGCTGGGGTGATTTTTAGTTTCATTGTTTCTGCCAAGTATGGCTAATTATCAACCTAAGCAGTGCACCAGCACTTTTATGGGCATCTCAGTGTTTTGTTTATATACCTGTTCCTGGCTTGGTCTATGAAACCCAGGATGGACATCTTTCCTATTTGTTTTCAAATTAAAGAGCAGATCATAACTGTTGTGTTGGAAAATCATTCAGTACATTGTGCAAGCACATTGTTTGCCTACAAATCTCAAGTGCAGTTTTGGTCCCTTCTCCTAAAGCATCTGTAGTTTATCAGGTAGATACGATTTACATGTACTAAAAGAAAAGTATGGCATAGATCATTATTGAAATAATGCTCTTGCTGTCTTCTTTTTAAAAAGTAAAAATACTTCAGCAGGGCATCAACTGTTAGTAGCTAGACGCCTCACAACAATTCAGCACATCTGACTAGGGTCAATATAAAGTATGGCTGACCAATTGCTTCTGAAATGGATAAGGTGTCATCACCTGGGCACAGGAAAAGTACACAAGCCTCAGGCTAAGTTTCTCTGTCCCTTGTTATGGCATTTTACCATATAAATGCACATGATCAAATTTCTTCCTGATGGCCCTAGCACAGACCAGAATAATGACTGAGGTTAACATTATGCAACAAATAAAATATCCTCAGCTGAAACTGCCAGCTTGAGACAGGTTAACCTGCATATATATATATATCTATATATATCTATATATAGATATATAGATATATATAGATATATAGATATATATAGATATATAGATATATATATATATAGAGGCAGAAAATAACTTTATGGGTTTTGTCACATTATTGTGTCTTTTTTATTTCTTCCAGTTGTTCATATGTTGATACACGTGGGGTCCGGCAATACAGAGAGACCCGACAATGAATTAGCAATACATAGAGTGAACTGTTATAGCATTTTCTGGCACATAGCTTGTTTTTCAGTGAACCTAAATTCAAGCTTTTAAGACTTTTCAGCTGTGACATACCACCTGGCCTCCAGCATGCCTCAATAGATGACATGCCTTTCATTTCATTGAAACTAATGCCATATGTGACAAAATACTGCAGTCATCTCCCACACTTTTAAAAGCAATCTCTACTCCATTATGTTCTATCTTATTTGGTGTCCTAAGAGATAGAAATAGACTTTGTTTTAGCTAGCATGTTAGCAACTTGTCCTGGATTACTCTGGGATGATTTATTAGACTAAGAAGACTGAGCCAGACTCTTCCCACCCTCACACTGGGTATTACTCAGATTTACGTTAGTAACCAAGATCAGTTATTAGCCAGAAGGAATCTTCCGTCTTCTTTTTTTAAGTCTGGAGATTTGGGGCTATATCAAGGCATAAATATGCAAAGTTTTTCAGAACTGCATGGACCCTAAATGGCTACATATGGCAGATTCCCAGTGGGATAACTGAGGAGGCAGGTTGGCCTGCTGCCGGAAGACAAAAAGAAAAGAAACACTCTTCCTAAACAGTGAATAGTGGAGCTACTAAAGGAGAGGAGATGGGGTGCTAATTAATTAGGGCCTGCTCTACACTGCAATAGACACCCAGTGCTGGGTCTGGTCCTCCCTTCACCCTTCTGTAAGGGGATTTGATATAGGTTTGATGTAGGTAAAGGGTTGAATTTTCGGAACTATGCATCCCTACTTGCTCTCCCTGACAAACAGCTGTGTTGTGCAGCTGACATCTGGGGATGTTTAATTCATCTGCTTATTTGACACCTGCACAGCAAAGTGCTATAGTGGTTGGCCTCGGGAGAGCTCACTTGAAAAGGGAAAAGCCTAAGCAACTATATACAATATCAAGTGCCCACTCTTCTTCTCACTGCAGGTAGTAGCCAAAGTCCCACTGACTGTTTTGGGAGAGGTAATAAGCCTTAAAACTACATTACATAACTGCTCTTATAGCAGTTGCTTTCCACTTGAAATTGCAGTTACTTAATTTAGAGAAGAAAAACCTGAAGGAGAATTTGATAACTGTCTTCAAATAAAAATGGTTGTTATAAAGAAGATGCTTAATGAAAGGACCAGATTAGAAGTAATGGGCTTAAATTGCACCAAGGTAGATTTTGTTTGGAAATTACAAAGAATTTTCTAACTATGACCATCACTAAACATTGAAGTAGATTGTCTATGTAAATTGTGGGGTCTCTGTCACTGGAAGGTTTTAAGAGCCAGTAAGAAACATTTGTTGGGGTGGTTTAGACAGGAATGTTCCTGGTGTGACCTATAAACAGCCAATACGGCTGACAAGATCATATTTGGTCCATAGACTAGCAGTTTCAGAAGTGAGTCTTGGCTGGACTGAGCTGTCACAGTTAGCACGTGACCTCATTTTGTGTGACTTAGCAGAGGAACAAGGCAGCCTGCTTCTCACTCAGCCAAGTCAGAGCTGCATACTTTGTTGCTTCCAATCTGAAACATGGTGCAGCTCCTGCCCTCCAAACGTTTCCTCTTACGGGCAGGCCAGAGGAAGTTGAGAGGTAGGTGGGGAGTAATAAGTGTCTTGCCTTTGCATTCCCCAACTGGTCGAACCTCTGATCAGATCTGAGGAGGGGAAGCCAGTGGAGCCTCTCAAAGGGCAAAAAAGATCAGGGAGAGAAACTACTGAGCCAAAGCAGCACCCAAGGCTCTTTCTACAGTCATGTAGATAGCACGTGCCCTGCACTCTAGACCAGGCCTAGTGAAGACATTAGAAATTAAGTTTACACCTCATAAAATAAATTATTCCTTTTATTTAGTGCCATGTTAAACAAACTACAGACTGCAGCAGCCAGAATACTAATGCAGCAGCTACTAATGCTAACAATCTAACATTGCAGTTATACAATGCTTTCTGAGCCCAAAGTGTGTTGTCCATGAGGCATTCTTCTTCCTTCCCTGATCCTCTCCACAAAGGAGGCTACATTGGCTTGGGGGAGATTGTTGGAGTGAAACACTACAGGTGTGATTTTTAGCTTCCCTCCACAAGCCAGCAAAGGTTTGATTACTGTTTGCTGTGAGCTGTAGGGGACCCAGGACCGCATGAAGATGCACAGAGCCCCTAGGCAAACTGTTTTATTCCTCCATACATCTGCCAAAATCATCAGTGATCAAGGGAGATGTATTTCTGGGATGGGACACCAGGCTAGATCTTACTAGGTGCATCTACCTGAGATGTTTACTGTGCAGTAGATTAATTAGCTGCACAGTAAATGTCTCTTGTCTACACACGTGCCCTTATTAAGCTGGAATAAAGTAATTTACTCCATAGCAGGATAGTACTATCCTGCTGTGGAGTAAAAAATTCTGCAGCAGTGCACATGTAGACACTGCCCCAGCTGGATGGGGTACAAGGCTTCTTCAGTGCAGGGGCTGCCTGCCAGCACCCTTGTACCCCAGCCAGCCCCCCCACAGTATGTTGAGCCAGAGGAGCAGTCCCAGGCTGGCTGGCTGACCCCTGCCAGCTGGGGCTGCTCTGCTCCAGCTCAGCATGCTGCGGTCTTGGGCACATGTACAAATGGTGTGCCCAGGAGCAATACACTCTGGAGTTTATTGCTTCTGGTTAATTGCACATGTAGACACACCCAATAGGAGTAAACTGTGCCCTCACTCCATAAGAAGAATTCCAAAAAACTTAGTGAGTTCCCCAGACACCACTTACATGTAATCTAGCCAAGTACTGACTGACCCACTTTATCATGGTATTTCATTTGGGACAGGGGTTGGTCTGCATGTAGCAAAATCATGGTACTGGAATCTCTTATCTTTTGAGTGCATCTTCTAACTACCATTTAAATACCTGGGGGAAGATTATGCATTCCATTATACCTATCTTAAGTTGGTACAACTATTGATTTTAAGGTAATTGCAGCAGTATAATTCATACCCATAGAATTCAGTCTTTACTCAAGCAAATTCACACACACTTTGGAGAAAGCTAGCTTGGGTAAAGATTGCAAGAGTGGACCCATGGAATAGTTCATCTGTTAATAAGTTTCCCTGTTACTTATTGAATGAGCAACAATGAAATCAAATACAGTTTTGACGAGTATGAGATGAGATTGTGTTCAAATTTATTTAATAAAATGGAATATTGTTTTGTTCAAGCAGGTGGACAGTTTGCCACTGTAAATTGATAATAAAGATTTTATTTTTATTGCAAGTTTATTTTAGATGTGGTTGAAATTCTTTGTCTAGAAATAAGTATGTAACTGCCTCCATGCATTCGGTTTGGTTTTTCTAGTGAATCAAAAAAATAAAAATTAATTGTATAAAAAGATGAGTTAAAAGACAACAGTAGAAGCAAAATTGTCTGCTGTAAATAAATGAGTACTGATGGTTATTTTATTGGCTTTATTAACTCTATCACAATACATTGACTCTGCTTTACACCTCTGTCTAAAGAGATCTTACCATCCTGAGGATTTGAGTGTTCAAATATTTATTTTTCCTCTGGAAGAGTAACTGGTCCTTATCTTAAAAGTCACCACAAATTACACTTTGGAGAATGTAGAAACCAACTTTTGACTGGGTCATTCTCCCCACACTATTCATTCTTTTTATTTATCACTCGGCTAAAAATACCTTGTGTAACTTGGCTGGACACTTAATCCTATATGAATGACAGTTTGGTTTAATATTTTACAGAGTGCTGTTTTTTTTACTGAACAAAGCTTAAAAGACAAGTTATTTGTGCTATTGTTATCCTTTATTATTACAGGTACAGAATTTTGATTTGGTCATTTTTCATATCCAAACATCACACATTTACTGATTGAGAAGCAATTTTCAATCTTGGAAGTAGTCTCAAATGGAATTTGGCAGGATGCATTCTTCGTAATCAGTCAGATCTTAATTGATTAGTAATATTTTATGTAATAAAAGCAATGTCTTACCAAACTCTGATGAAGGTGCCATGGGGTTATTTTATATTCATGTTTGGAAAAGAAAGGCAATGCCCAGTCCCAATACAGGCAGATCCCTCTAATCATTTTAGTAGACTGTCAGTTTGTCCCAGTCTGAAGCTTAGTAGTGCCAACAGATCAGTTTATTTGCAGCTTTGAAGCCTGGTCCTGTAATGTTTCTCATCTGACAGAAGATGAATAAAAGTGTCACTGTGGGAGACTTTTAGACGGCCGCTACACGAAGGACCCTCTTTGCATTCCCTCATAAGGTCTTCTAATTCATTTTGGGGGGCTCCAGCTTTTCCCACAGCTGAGTACAGTTCCATCAGCTCTAGTTCGTGCTTGGCAGCTGTTTCTAAAACTCTCTGCTTATTATAGTATCTGACAAAGTTGTTGATAATGGGGTGGATAGGAAGTGCTATCGCTATCACCCCACAAAGGAAACTGATGGCAGCATTGAGTTTCCCTAGGGTTGTCTTGGGATATATGTCCCCATATCCAACTGTGGTCATGGTTATGATTGCCCACCAAAACGACTGGGGGATGCTTTTAAATAAAGTCTCAGGGTGACTTTGTTCCATGGTATAACCAAGGGCAGAAAAGACAAAAATACCAACAGCCAAGTACATAAGAAGCAGCCCCAGCTCCTTAAAGCTCCTTTTAAGAGCATATGTTAAAGTCTGCAGCCCTGAAGAGTGGCGTGCGAGCTTGAAAATTCTTGCAATCCTCATGATCCGAAGTGCTTGAACAGCCTGTTGAACATTAGTTAACTCCATCAGTCTGGCACCTAAGTGGGTCAAAATCAGGCTGACATAGAAGGGGAGTATTGCAAAAGCATCAACGATGTTCATGAAAGACAGAGCAAAGTGCAGTTTATTTGGAGAAGAAATGAGTCTGAGTACATATTCCAGGGTAAACCACCCGATGCAAGCTGTCTCAATGCTGTCTAGAGTTGGGTGTTCCACATGATTTCCCTCAGAGTCGACTATCTGGAGTTCTGGGATGGTCCCCACACACATGACTACAGAGGAGATTAAAATAAATAGAAAGGACAAAACTGCAATTACTCTAGCTGGGTAGGATGATTCTGGTTTCTCCATGAATTTCCAAATACATTTTTGGCATCTTTTCCAGCGACTTTCAGAGGTGTCTACTCCCAAATCATCCAAAATCAGCTGTACTCTTCGGGCTATTTCTTCCAGCTCCTCCTTTTTTTCACTCAGATGAGTTTTGCAGCAGTCATCCAAGAATTTAAGGTCCACTTTCCAAAACTCCATTTCATTCTTGAAACATATAGGGCATATCCCTTTCTTCATGTGAATTTCTCCAAAGTAATATACATCAATAATACATTTAAAAGCATCTGGATCTCTGTCAAAGTAAAACTCTCTTTTCCCAGGATCATAGTCATCACAGAGAGCAAAGATAGTATCATATCCCCCTGACAAACAGTTGATCAACTCTGTTAGTCTTGTTCCAGGATATCGGTTCAGATTATCTCCATCTAGCACCTGTCTCACCCCACCAACATTGACGATAATTTCTATGTCTTCATTTTTTTCTGATCCATTGCTGTCCAAATCTGGAAATCTGGAGTCACCTGCCATTTTCATTGTATTGAATATTTTCTTTAAAAGGAAATATTAGTTTGCTTCCAAATCTTTATTGTTCTAGTTTATTTGTGGCAGCAAGTCAGAGCTCTTTCAAATGGCTCTGAGCAATGTTGGGAAAGGTTACAGAAATAAACCTGCCATCAGTAAAACCTTGCAAGGTATGCAACAAGCTGCAGCAAAAGGCAAGTCATCAGGCTGCTGTGTATGAAGGCAGGACGTTAATAGAGAAACATACTATTCCAGGAGATTTGAAAGAGAAGAAACCGCTTAATAAAACTCACCCTCTGTTCAGTGCTTGAAATTCCTCTCAGATTCCATTCTCTCCCATTCTCTAAAGCAATATTTATTCACAGGCTGGAAGTCACATCATGCAAGAAATTCCTTGTTCTGATTAATGAAACGTGAAGTAATTGACAGTTCGGAAACGAGAGTCAATCAGCAGGGAGATCCCACAAAAAGCTCTTGCAGTTTTTTATTTCAGTTCCAAGAAATTGCATGGAAAGCTGCTCTTTTTATTTTTACTTTAAGGTCTTCTGGAGTTTATCTGTTGATTCCTTCGCACAGTAACTGGAAGTGTGCAGAAGAGAAACTTGTGCTTGTTTTTCCTTTCCTGTTTCTAAACACAATAGGAATTCCAGGCTGACGTCAAGTTCTTTCCAAACTATACCCTCTTCTGGTGAAACTCAGCAAAGCACAAAAACAGCTCAACTCTGTGTATGCTCAGCTATAAAGCAGCTTTCTTTATAATCCTGTGTACCTTCATGTTTTAATATATCATCTTTAAAATAAAACAAGTGTGATAACACAGAATGCAATTCAGAGCTGCAGACGTCTCTAGCAAATGGAAGGTGTCTCATTGTTTTGGAAGCTTCAGGTAGTTAGGTAGGGAAAGTATATTTTGCACTTTCATTTGGATACACAATATAAATTTTGTTCTTGGTGCAAGTCCAGGGTAAACCTCTCTCAGGAAACTGAGCTACTGCAGATTTGTTCTTGTGTAACTGACAACAGATCATAAAATTTTCACCATGACTGTAAGAGCAAAGCTGTAAGAGCAAAGCAGCATCAATTGCATTCTGCCCTGTGCTTTTCAGAGAGCTGTGTTTGACTGTGGCCAAGTCAAGTTGTCTGGATCCATACTCAGCTGAACCAGGTCCAGACCTGCTCTGTTGGGTGCCCAGGTGTTATGACCCAAAACCCGTGCCTCATCCTTGCAACAAAGGCAGTAGTAACCATGGGAGTTGCTATGTACTTCCCATCAAGTAAAAGGAACCTTTGTACCTTGAATTTATAACCATCATCTTAAAATGGTGACTGTAACCAGGAGCTGGCAGTATTCAGAGAACAGGAAGCCTGCATCCCGCACTCCTGTTACGCAGAGACTGGTGTCTTACTTGGTATGTGCAAGAAAATCGTTCCTGGTGTCAGTGTGATGTATTGTGTAATTTCCCTTCTCTTCTGTCATGTTTGTACTGTGCTGAAACTTGTAAACTCTGTGGGGTAGGGAAGATATATTGAAAGTGTGTATGTAAAGAAAGTATGTAAAGAGTTTAGGTCTGTTACCATCAGAATATTACCATTCTGATTTGCTAAGTAGTTTGCTGCTGTTATTAGCAATGTTAGCTGCCATACACAATTAACTAAATAACTGCATATTACAATATCTCACCAGATTGAGGCCTTATTGCCCACGACAGTGAACTATGCTGCCCAGTCTAAAGTGTAGTAAATGTGAAGATATAGACTACAATGGCATGCTTGCCTAGATAAAAGGGTTAAGGGAATTCAGGTATATCAATTCCTTCAAGGAAAATCTGGGGGGAAAAAACTAAGGAATTAAATGTCAAAGGGAATACAGTTGCTTAAGTATAGGAAAACGTCCTTGGTTATCAACTGTCATGCCTTCCCTTTTCACTCAGCTACCCTGTTTGATTACTAATTCATTACAACAATCCCTTGTCCCTTCTTTAGTTAGCAGCAAGAAACCAGGGCCAACGAAGGCAGAAGCAGCCTCATTTCCAAAACTGCTTGCTCTTTTATCTTTCAATTTTATAGAGCAGAAGCAAAGTGTTCACATAGCTTCACCATCCACATTCAGTTTGAAAGGAGAAATCAGCTCATTTCAAATTCAGTAGCTCAGCATGCTTCTGTGTAAGAGGGAGTGGGGGGAGAGAAGTCTTTTTGAAATACCTGATTTCTTAAAGTTTTGTTTAAACTTGGTTCCTAATTCCTCATGCTTTGACCTCTCCTGTCTTGCACCTTGTGTAGCTATTTACAGTTTTTCAAAGTGACGGCAAAATGTTAGCATTCTGATCTGGTAGCATTGTACCGCCACTTTATACAAATGATTCCAAAAGGTACCTCTATATATTTAGAGAAAAGGGTCTTTTCTTTTCATGGACCAATCCTGACAGGCTTCCTCAATCTATATATTATTTACCAGATATTATAGAGTAACATGATGAAAAAAGCTGAGAGAATAATTTGCAGCAGATCATTAAAATTAGTGGAATACATTCTTTTTCCATCCAAGAACAGAAGATTTATCAAATGTAATAATTTTAGTGCATAACTCTTGTTCTATAGCTCATTCATGAGTAATTCGCTGCTGCTGTTAACAATTCAGAATTCAATCTCTATTTATTTGGCTTGAATGGGCACATAGATCATGACATATACAGTATTGCATTTCTGTACTCAGCTGGATGAGTTTTAGGATTAGAATTGGTACCAGGATTATAAGAATTGGAACAATCTATAAATTCCACCACACACCTGCATTAAATTTAGTTTCACAATGTAATACATAGGAACAATGTCTAAAATGCCCCTATTCTACTCATATGTTAATTATGGCAGTAACTGGTTCTTGCCCATTGTTTTCTACAAGAAAAGAAAGCATTTACTGAATGCAGTGTGGAGAAATAAAGGGTACTGCACAGCATTATTTTATCAGTGAGGTTTTCTTCAGATTTATATGGGAAGAGAAAAAAATAGCGGACAGGAATGCGTGGTATAAATATTTAAACTGCAGTATCTGATAAATATCACAAATAGAAAATTTACCTTCTTATCCCTTTTTTTCTATCTGAGCTCCATAATATATATGGATTTGCAGATTTCTCCTGAATGATATCTCATATCAAACAGTTTCTAAGATTGTTTTCTGTGCCCAATCACAGTTCCTCTTTGCTGAATTTGCTGCTCGCATGCTTAGGTGGTACTCGTCACTTTTCCTTACATGTATTCTGTTAATCAGTCTGGGCTTCATTTCAGTTTCAACACTTGTGATATGTATTCATGTTCTGTCATTTTGTCATAGGTAGTTTGTGCTTTTGTTCCTTATTAAAAAGTCTTGTAATTGGTTGCACATTTTAATTGGCATTGTTTTCTATTCGACATTAATAAGCCTATTTTGTTATATAATTAAACCTGTCTTAAATGACCACTCAAGGGGTTGAGAAAAATCAGTGGCTCAGTGTAAGTGGTTGCAGACAAATAAGGCATTGTCTCTGCTGTACACGGCTAACAACCGAGTTCAGGCAGAGGCGTAACAGGTGAGACACAAGTAGGATGTTATGCCATTGTAAGTTGGAGGTGACGTAAGTATCTAGTTATCATAGTTTTGTTAAAACGCCATTCAGAAGCATTGTGTTTTGAGGGAGGAATTAAAGAGTTCTAAGCAGACTCCTTTATTACCTACAATGGAAGGCTTGTAGTTGCTATTATATCTCCCTTTGAATTCAACCTATTACACATGCTGTGCCAAAACTTAAGAAAAGCAGAGTCAGAGGTGTGCATGGAGTGAACGAAGCAGGGGTCCGGTGGAAAAATGTGGCATGAGCTCATGTAATTGAAGCTTGTCTCATAATGCATGCACATGAGGGGCAAAAGTTAAGTTGTAAATTCTGACTTTTCCTAACTCTGGAGTATTTGACTTTGCAAACTTAACATTCTTTTAACTTGCTTTTTTTATTTGTAATTTCCTAACTTTTTTAAATAAATCAAACTGAAAATCCAGAAAAGCCATCACATTGTATCAGAATGATACCCACATAGTTCATCAACAGGTGTGTTACCTTTAGATCCAGTGCAAACTTCTGATAATTGAGCTAATGAAGTGACTACAATAGGATAATAATCTGCTATTGTTATGTGATCCAGCACCAGAGGGGGATGAGACACGCGTTGCCAGTGGGTCTCACAGGTACTTGCTGACAACAAAGGAATGATGACAGCCAGGACTCCTGGGCTTTATTGTAGACTAGGGTCAGCAACCTATAGCCCCTGGGGCTGGATCTGGCCCACAGAGGGGTTGGATCTGACCCATGAAGGTCCAAGCCCAGGGCAGCACCGTGGTTCAGATTTGCAGCCTGCAGCAAGGGACTAGGTCACAAGTTCCAGCCCACAGCAGCAAAAGGTTGACAACCCCTGTTCTAGACTGTCCCAGTCTCACTGGACTCCTTACTCCATCTACTCCTTGCTCTTCCAACAATGCTGCTTCTGGACTTCCTGCATTTAAATCAGATGGCTTGCTCCTCCAAACTGCCAATGTGCCAGCCTAGGCCTACAAAGACAACGCCTGACTTTCCATGTAGACCAGGGGTGGGGGTAAGCACTGAAATTCTGAGCTAGGACCATGTCTCCTCAGTGCTCACACTGGTTTCTCCTGTCAGGACCCAAACATTTTGGAGGTAAAAGGTGTCTGATGAACCTGAGTGCTGGACAGCAACGTGGAGAGATTCAGTTAATGTCTAAGCAGATGCAGGATGGCTATTGAATGAGGTTTTTGTTCATTGAGAGGTTGCTGACAATGCTTCCCTGGCTAGGCTGGCTCTCAGCAAAGCCAATATCCCTAAGCTGTGGCTGTCTACTGTGCATTGTGCAGTACTTGGGCAGCAAAGCAGGATGTCTTCCAGCAGGGTGGCAGGTAGAAGAGGACAGGCTGGTTGCTGATTTAACAGCCACACACCAGGGCAATTACAGGATCTCATCACCTTCAACTTAGATGAAGGAGGCTTCAAGACATCACTGTAATGCTGTGACTGGAATTTTTTTTCTCTTTTACTTTTATAATTGTGTATGGTTTGCAAAGTGTTTAATAATATCCTATATGCTACTATTATACATTCTTTCGAGGAAAGCCTGGGTGGTGCTTTGGGATGGTGTAGTTCCCAATAAATGTGGTTTTTTTAAATCTTAACTGATATTTTTATTGTGTGCAATCAAAATAAAGAATAAAACTGAATCACTCACTGGAAATAATGTCAGTAATGGCACAAATTGCATGCTGAAAATATGGAAAAGGGTTTGAACATATTTTGCCAGTGTACAAAAACAAAGGAATACAAAGCATTGAAAACATTTTTCAGTGATTTTTTTTTAAACTCTTGCTTTGTTAAAGAAAGGGCATGTTGCTTTTGGAACCTGAAACACTCACAGAATTGGGTATGTATAGCCCAAAATCTCCTTGTTTTCCACTGGCATGGAGTGGAACAATCAAGGATGCCGACTAGGCCTGTGCGGTGCGTAAGGTGGGACTGACTGGCCCCATCAGCATGGACTCCTCACTGGACTGCAGAGGAAGCTGAGGAGGAGACTCAGTAGCATAACTAAGGGGAGATAACTGGAACAA